TCAGGAATTCAATGTAAATTTCAAATTTTGCCAATTTATCTCATATAAAAGCATACCTGGCTTCGAGAATTTACCAATGTTAATATTTGTGTACTGCAAAATATACATATTATTTATTTTTTGCAGTACACTGATTGCCCATTCGTGTTCTTTTGGTTCATTCACAATGTCAAAATTTGCCAGAATAGGAATGCCGATATGAACAAACTCTTGTTGACTGAAACAAGTTTTTATTTTTTTTAAATTTAAAAATTTATTTTCTCTTTATTTTTTTTTCAACTGACTCGATATCATCAGAGCTGAATTTTTCTGCTGTTATCAGTTCTTTTAACTATCTTTCGCTACCTTAAATAACCTAAAGCAATGCATAGCCATAGTTTTGAAAAGCACTATTATTATAATTTTTTTTTTTTTCGTACGAACTTTACTGGAGGTGTTTCAAATTACCTTGATTAGTATCTAAAATAAAACAAATGGTCAAATCACTATGGAAAATTGACCAAATGTACTGTTCAGTGACATGAGTGAAGATGGGTTTCTCAGGAAACCAGACTAAAACTAAAGAAATTGCAGGGAAATTGTCTTTGCAAAATGAGTCAATAATACATGTCATTTCACATCATACTTGGCTCGATTCCTTATTGAGAGGACACAGAATGTTTGATGAAATAAAATGACCTTTCACATGTGCTGAATGTCTCTTGAGTAGAAAATAACAGCCTCATTTTATAGAAAAATATATTTCATTTGTAAGTAGAAAAGTGATTTGGTGAAGCAAGGGTTTTAAAACTCTGTATAGCTTGCAATTTCTTATTTAATATTTTATCAATTGAAAATAAAGCTTTAAAATTTAGATATATAACGGATTTACACATGGCAAGATTATAACGTGCTTTTGCACTGTGCATATTGTAAGGTTTAGCTATAACAGTTCTAGTTCTTTTCATCTCTTATCGATCAAATAGTTTAAAGTCCAGTCATTCTAGCAATGCAGGTATTACTCCTGCACTTTCTCTCCCAGGATGGTTTATTTGAAGGTTAATATGTCCAACAAATATGGTTATAGGTATGTAGACATTTTATATGTAGTGTAGTGACAATTATGATTCCAATACATGGAGTTAACTATAAGGCTAAAGTAATAATCTGTCCCAGTTGAAGGGAAGTTTAACACTTTCACTGCAATGCTCATTTGTTAAAAACTTCTTTTGATAATAGATTTAAAAAAAATACTTTTATTACTGTGTTTATAGTATATTTGATATTGTACATTTTTCTTATTCTAAAATGTATTGTTCTGTTTTTCTTTACCTTTCTTAGACTTTGGGGTCTGCCCCTTCAATAGATTTTCCCTAATTTTAGCTGATGTCATTTTGGTGCCATGCATATCAGTGCCCTTTTTTTTTATTGTCCATGCAGTAAGCTGGTTTGTCACTTCTCCCTGGTGTCTGATAAGCCACTGTCTCCAATTCTGCTCATATGAGTTGAAGAAGGTTTATCGGTTTCACCTGTCATGCATACATCAACCCCAATAATTTCTTCTTAGTAATCCCTAATTCTTTTCAACTCTGCAGCTTTGGCATACCACCATGAATAAATAGATATCTATGTATGTACACATAAAAACTAATCCTGTTTTGGAGCAGTAGTGACTCTTTCTACAAAGAGACAATGATAGAGAAACATACCTTTTTTTTTTTTTATACTCTTTTCTCAAAAAGAAGGAAAAACCTACCAATATTAGGAAAATTGACTGAAATGATGTCTCTAATGTACATATTATTTGCTTATCAATTTTAAAATGGTAAGGGAAATGGCTTTACTTTATATTTAAACATTCTATCATAGATATGTCATGATGAGATGTGACAAGTGCTTTACATTTTATGTGATGCACATAGATTAAGTCTTTACAGGACTTTAACAGTGTTATGCCAGCAGGGAATCTTTTTATAATAAGTTCTTTTACTGACTATAATGAACCGTAATAATGGATATGGTGAGGAAAAATGCACTCGATATCCTCAGTTTAAAAGCATTGATGACTATGAAATACAATGTGTAGCTTCTGTTGCAGTTGAACAGTGATTTTTCTATATTGTAAGTAACCATGTATACAGCATTGAATGAACATTCGAACAAAGGGACTGGTCTTTAAACTAAGTGTACCCTTACTCAGACTAGATGGAATTATCATAGATTGTTATCTGGGAAAGCATTTCATATGAACATTTATATACTCATTATACTCTATTTACTGAACATCCACATAGCAAAGTAAAACTATCAAAGGAGGTAAATGGCTATTGTCACATTATGAATCCGTTCCTTAAGTTGTGACTGGGTATACAATTAGGCCTTAACTTACTATTGTGAAAGTCCATAAAATGTTCATTCATTTAAAAAAAAATTTTGATCCTCTTTATCTTATGAGTTGTATACAGCACGGTCTGCAAACCATATTAAATGAATAAGCAGTGAAATACATGTACTGAATTGCTTGAGATAAGTCATGACTGGGTATATTGCATATCATGCTTGTTTTCTTCTTTTCCTCCCTTTTCCCTTTTTTCTTTCCCTGTCCTCCCTTTTTTTATCCTTCATTAATTTTTTCATGTGAAGTAGAAAACTCTGAAGTTTTTATCTCGAGTTTAAAAAAATTCTTGGTGCGTGTACACACAAACGAAATAATGTGTTACAGTATATTACAGAATAATTTTATTGATTGAACAGTAATTTGGTACATTAGCTTTTGGGGTTTGACCAGTTGCATTACTTTATTTCTGTAGCTATGGACTGCTACTCCTGATGGGTAATAGACTTGATTAGATTTGTTGGAGCAGTGATAACCTCACTGCCCAATACACAACCTACGTGATCATTTTGTTCAAAATGGTAAATGATTGACACTTGTTGAAAGCACTTAATCTTAGACATGCTTACTTTTCACTATCTTTACCCTTTCTAGTTGACCAACAATGTTTGGGAACTGCAACATATTTTCATGAGCTTCCATTCTTTGAAGAGGACATTTTGAAAGTGTTTGAATGTAAGTATAGATAACAAACTCAAACGGGATTACATTTTAAGTACTTGGGTAAGAGACATACAAAATTGTGTGGGTTATCAGTTTTGGGATTTGTCTATATTAAGGTACTCCGTTGGAAGTATTTAATCCTCTTGCAAGAATGAGCACAAAACATTAAAATGCTGCTAAAGGACATATGGAAATCAACAATATTGAAAGTAAAAAAACACAGAACTTCCAAACCAAAATTTGCATTTCAGCAGTTTTATACACCTACCTGATATGTCTGGGTAAAGTATTTTTTATTTTTATTTTTTTGTTTTTTTATTTTTTGTCCTTATTTCTCCTCTTTGAAGAAATATGTTGGGTTTTGAGTAATAACAATGGTTTGATAACTTCCTGGTCATGTAAATACTGGGGGTTGGTTGTTTAATAAAATCCTTCCCCACCCCCACCCCATTATCACAGTGATTTGATGACTAGGGCAATCTCAGAGTATTTTTGTACTGCCTCATGGCCGAGGCATCCACCAATACTCTCGAACCGGCTGCAGTTGGCATGTACCCATATCCTGTGGCGTGGTGCCATAGCAAAGGAATGCCTCCATGGGCTTTAAATGTACTACCTTAGGGGTGAGATTCAGCATTATTTGATTCTCACATCTATTTACTATACCAGAGATACAGAGAACTTTAAAATCCTGACATTCAGGGTACTAGGGTTATAAGTTTGTTGAATGATGTGTATTTTTTTCTCGACTGATAACTAAACTCTTTTGATCTTATCTATTTATTCCATTTATAGTCGATTTTAATGGGAAAATAAAAACTAAACAAAGAAAAAGATGGAGGAATAGAAGATCTAGGACATTTAATTTGCTACATAATAAAATTGAAGACCCATTTAAATCAAGAAGTCAAAAGAAAATATATATGGAACAGGGTAACTCCGAAAGGAATGTTACAGCGAAAATAAAGTCAGAAGATATGTTTAAGACACCAGAGGAACCTAAACAATATGAGCTGAGAACTAGCACGAGTTCCGTGGAGCAACGCCTAACTGACCTTTTTGAAAACAATGGCAATTGCCACCACGTAGAAGAGGATAAGGTTCAAAGTGATGCTGACAATACAAGTTTATCTGAAAATCAGGATTATTCAAAGGATGCACCTGTGAATGAGAGTTCTCAGTTGGTGACAAAGGTGATGACTGAACTCTGCCCCAGTGTGATTGAAAGTGAAGATAAGGGAGGAACATGCGTGTTTAAGTCACCTGAGCATGTACCAGACTGTGTCAAGTCTGACACACTTGACCTTGAGGCTAAAGCAGAATCTGCTTTGTTGAATGATTTAAATTCCAATACAATAAGTGATACTAAGAATGCAGTGGTAGAAAATGAAAACAGCTCAGATATTGTATCACAAGTTGAGAAAAATTCCAGTGCTAACAAAGGAGTGAGAACACGTCCAAATTATTTTGTTGCCATTCCAATAACGAATGATCAGGTACTTAATGTGTTTTTTGTTTCTCTTTTGCTTTCATAGATAAAATGTCTCACAAATGTTGCATGGTTAAAATATTAAACAAGTTTAAAGTAATATGCCAGTTGCTAGTTAATGTTAAGCATATTTGTTGTTTAAAAGGTAACAGATTTTAACCCCTCCAAGATCCTTTTATGCATTACTAGATCAAAAAGCAGTAACTTAAATATAGACAAACCTATTCTTTACAAACGTTGTTTGTTTTATAGATTTGTTTCAAATATTGTGTTTTGTTTATGTAAATGCATCTTAGTGAATGCTTCATTTCAATGTTAAAGATGCAATTTAGGTTGACAAGTATAACAAAGGAAAACACACAGCAGCATCAACCACTGTTTAAAATGGAGAACAAAGGTGGTCACAATGATTAAGTTCTAGAACCACCATTGAGGTGCACCCATTGGTTTGTTTAATCTATCACATGAGACTTACAGGTATTTTGTTGATTCTCAACTTTTGACTCATTCTGTAGATGAACTGTGAGTCACACTCTTTAAGGTGCTTTTTTTTCCTTTTTGTTATCCTTTTCTTTACAAAAATGTGCTGTACAGTAATAAATATTTTAGGCTCATTTTGGCCATTACTCCGATCCACAGTGCTAATGTCCATAAATTGAATATAAATAAGCATCTCAATATGTTTACACAGACCTATTCTTATAAAACCATACTATGTCTTCTATTTAATAAAAGTAGAATATAAAAGGGCATGTATCAAATTATATATGTAGACTGAAAGTACTAGCAACTAACTGCTGAACTCCAAATGGCATAATTTAGGCTAACCTAGCCAAGAAGATTTGGAGATTCGTTTCAGACTGTACTGCAATTGGAAGGATTTGGTCTGTTTATGTGAGCGGGTGAAATGCTGTTTTCAGATTTGCCATAAGTCAGAATCTTGATGGAATTGACGTGAACAAACCTGAACATTAAAAGTTTTGATTCTAGCGAGTCAGAGACAACAGAAATAAAGTGAGGGGCAAATAAGCAGCTCAATTTGCCATGATGAAAAAGAAGTCTACCCAATAATGAGACTTAAAATACAAATATAGAAAAAAGGTGCCCTGTGCCTTTAAATCTGTAAAGTGAAAAGTTCAATACTTATTTGTGCAAAATTTCAATGACTTAATAACGTATAATAAAGAGATGGGTACACAAATTAAATACCTTTTGATCTTAATATTGATTTCGACTTACACAATTTATGAATTTATGATATTTTTGTATGAGTATGTATTTATGATTGTAATACTTTTCTATTTTTCTCCCTTTCTGAGTAGAAAGTTATTTTTAACAGAAGGTTATTTAAGTGGTATTTTAAGGGGGATAAGAAACTGTCCCAAAGGGAAACCTTTTGGATCCACAAATTGAAAACTTTAACCCCATAGGACTCAATATGGATATAGATCTGGTATGTTTTTATATCATTTTAGTCAATGTCTATTGTTCTTTCATATGCATATTTTTGTATCTATGCCCTTGAAATAAGATTTTAAAAGCGCCATTTTCCACCTGTTTAACTTACCAACAATGAGACTTTTATCTCCGATCCAATCAAGAGGGGAAAGCCAGTAAATGTTCATTTAATTCACAGATTAATTCTGTTTCTCCCACCAATGCAGACCTAGGAATATGATGAGCCAGAGGAATAAGAGGAGAGTGTGGAAAAGGAGGCAGCAGCTCAGTATTTTCTACACTACTAGCATAACTTGTAGGCAAAGCTGAAGGTGATGGTGGTGACAATGCCAGTAGTTGACAGATGCAGCTTGGACAGAAACAGTATCCCTCATTCTTGGGAGAATTAAAAAAAAGAAACACAAACTGTTGACAAGCTGCTACTACCAGTACCACCTACACCCAATTTGAATCATTCATTTAGAACGGTTTTGCAGATTTGTGGTGTTTATTTTTAAATTTATTTAAGGATTTATTTTACTTTTTTTTTGTGTGTAGGGAATAGAACTATTCTTAAAGGTTGTGATGCTGGTAGTCATCCCCTTGTTCAACCTTCTCATTTTTGCATATCCGCACAGTCCGTCACCATTTTTGCTGCCTGATATTGTCTTCCCAAATTAGTTTTCCACTACTAAAACTAGCTCTAACCTAAATTCTGCTGTCCAAGCAGAAAAAGCAAAACAAAAATTAAGATTTCTGTCTAACTGGACTTTCACTTATTTCTTAGCCAGGAAGCAATGACATATCATAATGGCTGTGAAAACTGTCAGCTCGAACATTTGATATGAAGTTAATGGTAGAGGATCTAAATTCCCTTTGGTCTAGATCCTCTAGATAGGCTCCCTTCCCCAGTGACTGGCATCTCATGTGAGGATGATACATGGAGCTACTTCCAATAGGAATTCCCTGTAAATGTTCCTGTTAAGCAACCACCACAGAAGGGAGTGATGCACTCTGGGTGAATCTTGATAATTTGGTAAAGGTTGCCTGTTCTGAATTGTCCTAGGAAGACCTCTTGTAAAGTTCTTATCTTCCACTAAACCAGTGTTCTCAAGCAACAAGGTGGTAGAATCACAAGCAGCAGCAGCAGCATCTGAATTTTAAAATGGATACAGATAAGAAATCCTCCCAAATGCACATCCTCTGACTTCCATGCATGTAGGTTTAGAGGTTCAGAAGGGAAACCTGAGGCAATAAGTGTTTATAAAGCTTCTAAATATATCTAAAGATGTGGCAAAAATGCCAAAAACTGTTATATGCCATCACTGTATGGTCAATGAAGGACAAGGTCCAGAAGACTGCACCAAGGAGAACAAAATGTACCTGTGTCAATAATGAAGGTAAAGTTGATATTTAGGCAGGAAGGAGTATATGTCAGGGTATACCCACACTTGCTACCCATAGGGTCACAGCAAGTCATCCCCCATTTACTAAAGAGGTATTTTCAGGGTGGCACCTTTTGTATATGGCTGTATGCTGAAGCTTCACAATGGAGAGAGGCTTGGAGCAGGGGGTAAAATAACCTCCAGGTAAGCCAAAAAGAAAAATGGGAATTTGCTAAAATGCCCCCAACTCAAAAAAAAAAAATACATAAAAATCTATAAATATGGTTGTCCATAAGAGTATTTCTACAATAATTAAAGTTATTCATACTTTAGGGGGGGAGGGGGGGCTCTTCTAACCTCTTTTGTTTAGAGGATATGTACAATATTTCAGATATTTTTGCAAGTGGGAAAGATGTTTTAAATAAAAAAAATATATAATTTTTTTTATAATGAAATACTGTAAAGATACTACATAAGTTATTTTCTGTCTGGAGCTGGTATCACACAGCCAATCAAGTGTAGAATGTTGCTTACTTTAAATGAGGGGAGGGTGGCTATAGACGTTAAATTTATGTAAAGTGGGTGGTGGGGCTGGACCATCAAGCTGAATGGGAGCCATCTCCTGCAGCTCCGGTCCTGAGCCTGAATAAACACTAATTTACTGCTCACAAACCGACCATCTGCCCCTCAACATAATATATTTGAATAGGGGAATAAGCAAGCATTACAAAGAGACCAGTTGGCAGCTGAAGACCCCACAATTATGAAGATTCTGAAGCCTCAGGCCTACTTGATGGCTTGAACCGGCGGGCTATTGCTGAAGCTGGAAATGCTCTACTCATGTTCAGTGAATCATCACGATCTAAAGGTGCCTATCTTTGGCAAGTTGCTATGGTGACCGGAGAGATCATGCTGCGGCCCAAGCTACCCCCCTGGACCAGGGGGCGTCATCCCGGTCCCTTGTTTCCCAGTGTTAAATTAAGTTTTCACTTACGAGTTAATGGTTCTCAGCCTTCACTTGCTGAGCTTAGGATACAGTTCCGACCCTATGTACCCAGCCACTGCATGGGAGGCAGCGTTCACACTGTGGAAACTCCCTTCTTGCCTTGCCAGGGAACAGATGAGATGACTCTTAACATACTTACCCAGAATTCTGCCCATGCATCACTCAAGTGCATCGGACGGACTGCCGACAAGTTATGGCAACATGAGAACCAGGCTGTAGCAGGTCGGACAGCAGTTACTCCTACCGCTAGGTGATCCAGAGGCCTGGAGGGTGTTGCTCCCTGTTGCTGTGAGCCCGGCCGAACTGGACTGTGGGGGGCCTGCAGCTGACCAGTGGCCTCGGGGCAGTGTGGCCCATGCTTTGGAGGAGTGGCCGGCGATAGAGGGGGCTCACGGTGGCACCCTGTCTTACCTTCCGAGACTCTGCCGGGACAGTGGAGGTACAGAGGCCGTCCAGTCAGTGAACTCTAGGAGAGGGGGGTCTCATAGACTGAGGGGTACCTCAAGTGCCCGCTGTGTTGAGAAGCTCATGGTGGGGGGCCTTTACCTGGTGTCGGGTGACAGATGTTGGCACCCCGGGGGCCAGCTGTTGAGGCACTAGGTATGGCCCTACAGAGGCTTTACACTACTCCTTAATCTCATCTAGGATTGGGGGCATGACTGGAGACACAAGATACACTATTATGCAGGGATTGCTTCCACCTATGGCAGTCCGCTATCATCCCGTAACCAACCCCACTCCTTTTTTTGCTTAAATAATACTTCCACATTTATGCCTTAATTAGTAACTGTTACCCCCTTTTTATTTTTTCCATATGTAACCTGGCTATATGTGCTTGGACCAAAATCTCTGGAGTCCACAAGAGGACTAGGGATTTTCACATTGAGCCCTATCCCACAGGCCCCTCATTCTCAGGGGCACCCTCTTTTTCCTTTTTCCCTTCTTTTTACTTTATCACATTATAACTGTTCTGATCCCTTGCTGGAGATATACACGCTACAATCCTGACACAGTTTAAGCTGTAGATCCACCATTCCAGCAGCAGAATAGGGTAGAGTATATAGCCTAGCTAATGTCCCAGCTTCTGTCATACAATAAATTACCAGCAAGCACTGGTTCCCTGGTGTAAACGAACATACAAGCTACCCATGCTCTATACCCTTCTTCTCACATATTTAGGCTCAATGTTCACAGCTGTAGTCTAGGATATTGATTTGGTTCTTAGTATTACACCTAATTAGGTTTATATATTTGGTATATATTTGTTTTTTACGTTTTGTGGCCACACCCTTGCTTCCGCGACCAACCTCATTGTGTTGTCATACTCCAATAATATGGTACACCATTATATGCTGCAATAGGGTCGCATTTCTAACTGCAACAATATGCAAATTGACGTGAATAAGGTTCGCACTCCTAACTGCTAATGTATGCAAATTTATGTGATTTTAGTATTTTACTCTCATTGATTCGAATGCGCTTGACACATGTTGTACTATTATCTTTAAGTTCTGTAACCACACACATGCACCTGCGACTTTCCTCAATGCATTGTCATACTGCAAGATTATTGTATACCATTGCATATTGCAAAATTGATCATGCCAATAGCGAAGATTTATCGTTGACACTGCATGACCAATATCTCACCTTTTCCATATGCGCCTAACACAACGTTGTATTGTTATGATTTAGCTTTCTTGACCGCCATTATTCGGGGTTAAGCTACTCTAAAACTCAACCACACATCTTATGGAGTTCCAATAAGCTGATCTCCATTCACCTAGTTAGGCTTTGTTATCATATGCTGCACTATGATATGCTCTTTTGTTAAAGGACCACTATAATGCCAGGAAAACATACTCGTTTTCCTGGCACTATAG